CCAATTTATACCCCCGCTTTACCCTCTGGTAACGAAAAGTTTCTTTTCTACATCTATAACTATTTCTGTTTTGTCATTTTTCCCAGAATTAGAACCAAAAAAAATTGAAATTTGTATCGAAACACGAAAGTCCTAAGTACCCAAAACAATCTTGAAAAAGAAAACTAAAGCTGGAGGAGTAACACTCCCTAACTTCAGACTATACTACAAAGCTGCAGTGATCACATTTATTTTTCAAATCCAACTTTCTTCCCTCCAGGCATTTCACTTTAAATATTTGTTGATTACTCCTTGATTTCAGTCAACAGAAATTTCAGGGATGATGGAAATGGCCTGCCCCTGCCTTGTGCAGTCAGGACAGTAGCTGCTAGCCACAGGTGGTTGGACATTTGTATGGTGGCAGGTGCCCCTGAGACCCTGAAGTCCTAATTTTCTGTAATCTTGATTAGTTTAAGTATGACTGTCAGGGTTACTCCACTGGGTGCTGCTGGATTGGAGAGCAGGGGTTTACAGAACAGTGGGGGATTTCTCAGCTATTTGAAGACTTAGCTCTTCTCATTCTGTGAGGTCTGGGTAGGGGGTCTTGCCAGGAAAAGGGCTCAGCAAGCAGATTATTGCCGTGCACTGTTGAACCCTTTGCTCTTCAGCTGCAGATAAAACCTGTCTAAAACTTGAGCCGGTCTCTGCGGAGGGGCCTCTTGCATGTTGGGCAAACGGTGGGCCGGACAGTCATCTCTCAGCAGATTAGCAGAAAGAGTATCTACGGCTGGGCTCCGTTGTTGGAAGAGTGGTGCACCCTTTGTGCAAGAACAAGGGAAATTTGTGTTATGACAATGGCTGACAAACTGTTTAATGAAAGCTGCAATTGGCAGTAACTAAATTCCCCAAGGTTTCTTTCCTCTCTGCTTTGCTCCTGAAAGGTGCAGAAGTGCTTTTGACAGTGTCTGTCCTGCTGATAGATGGATTGTTTTGACAGGAGAATCTGAAACCTTCAACCAATAACACATTCAGATGTCAGGCCTGGTAAGGCTGACCGTGTTTGCAGAAATAAGTGAGATGCTTTAGATTTGTGTCCCTGTCAGCTGCCACCTGAAAAAAAAAAGGTCTCTTAGGTAAAAGTTTTTCACTAATTAACTCTTAAATTGTTATTCAGACCCTTCTCTGCACAGTTCTTGGACCAAAGTATATGGATATGTTTCATCTTGGAGAAATGAATGTTGTCAGAAAGTGTGGCAATCAGAGTTAAAAAAAAATCTTTATGTTATGCCGGGGCGTGGGTGGGGGATGACCATGTCCACAGCAGCATGATTCACAATAACCAGAAGATGGAACCAGCCCTAATATCCATCAGCTTTTATAGGGAGAAACAAAATAGGGAAGATACACACACACACACACACACACACACACACACACACACACAGAGGTGAATAATGGAACACTATTCCGCCACAAAAAGGAACAGGAAAGCATGACACATGTTACAGTATGGAAGCACCAGTGAAGTAAGCCAGACACAAAAGGTACGGTGTGGCCCCACTTGGGTGAAGTACCTCTCAAGTCCAGGTCCTACAGACAGCATGTGGAGTGAAGGTGGGCAGGCCCTGGAGGGAGGGGAGGATGGGAAGTTAGTATTTAATGGGTGATGAGTTTCAGTTGGGAAAACTGTATGTGCTAGGGAGGGATGGCTGGTAGTGATGCTCGTACAACAGTGAGAATGTGCTTATTGCCCCGAACTGTACACACAAACAGGTCAAGATGGTACATTCTATGTTATGTGTCTTTTACCACAATAGGAAACTATTTATACTGAGAGCGTTTCTCCCAGAGACAAGCAAGCAAGAAAAATGTCTGCGGATTTTACTTCAGATTGTGCTTGTCAGGGAGAAGAAAGTAAATGTTTTCCCTGTTTTTTGATAAAGCAGTTGGTAATTGCATAAAAATTCAGAGATCGAGCTTCTCTTGAAAGTGAAGGAGACTGGTCTGCACCCACCCTCGTTTTGGGAACCAGGTCCAAATGGCCCCTTTTGGTGGCAGGCCGATGAGTGGACACTGCTGTGTCGGCCTCATTCCCCGCTTTGTACCAGGATTTCTTTTTCAGACTTAAAAGCTCTGTCCCAAAGCAGAGCCATTCCAAGGGACCTGGGCCTCAGCCACTGTGTTCTCTTTGTGCTGGTGACAGGCGCTGAGAGGAGAATTACTCTTAGAGGCAGTCTGGGTTGGTGATACATGGCTTTTCTAGTTGATCAAGAATCGAAAAATCACTTCATCCAGGCAAACCAAGTGAACACTTAAATTTCCACTTAACAAGTCTCTTGAACTTGTTGCTGCGTCCCTGGAATCTCCGTGTTAAGTACTGGTCCTGTCTGGCTTCTTGATAACAGTAGCTTATGGAATCCCCCTTTATCAAGTTGCCTTATCTAAAAAGCAGAATTTGTACAAGGTTTTTTTGTTTTGGTTTGTTTTACTTTATTTTATATTGGAGTATCGTTGATTGACAACGTTGCGTTATCTGTTGCAGGCGTGCAGCAGAGTAATTCATATGTCACATATGCATACACAGGTATCTGTTCTTTTCTAGATTCTTTTACTGGTTAAGTCACTACTGAGTATTGGGTAGAGTTCCCTATCTTATACAGTAGGTCCTTGTTGACCATGTGTTTTAAATATGACACTAGATACAGCATTTTTGAAATGTAGATAAATTTTATGTGCTCTTTAAGGGAAAAAATAGAGACCAAGGAGAGTTGTGATTTTAAATGTCTTTATTCTAATCCTGAGTTCCTAAAGGATCTGGACAAAACTGGCACGAGGATTGAGGGAAGTGATTGCCTTTCAGATTGTTCAGAACAGAGCCACCAGGCCTAGCCTGGGCTCTAGATCCTGTGAACCCCAGCTCCTGCCCTGGCCGCAAGTCATTCATTTTGAAACTAGATCAGAGGTTGTAAAATGGTGATCCTCTGGTTAAATGTGGTCTGTAGATTTATGTATGCAGAGATGTGGTCCACACACACTGCCAGATTTGTGCATATACATTTAAAGAATTGAAAAAACTTCACATAAAATTTCAGAGATCAGGCTTCTCTTGAAAATGAAGGAGACTGGTCTGCACCACCCTTCTTTTGGGAAGCAGGTACAAATGACCTCTTTAGGTGGCAGGCAGGTTGAGTTGGCACTGCTGTGTCAGCCTCATTCTACACCTGCCAGGTGACCCCCTGCATCACTTGTTTACCCTTACAGCTCTTGGCTTTGTGGTTTCTGAGTCTTTCTCTCAAGCCTGCTCCAGCTTAGCAACTCCCCATTACCTGTGATGATATGAATGTCACAGTCATTATCAACTCACACTACCTGTAGACCCAGAAACAAGATTTCCGCCCCACTTTGTCATGATAATGTGCTCATCGTAGGAGAAACTTTCAGTCCATTCAGTCCTTTCTGTGACGGGAGAGAACTCTCTCCATTTGTGAATTTTCTGTTCCAAGTCTAACCTGTTGATTTCTGTGTAAGTATCTCATTGTAAATACTCCCAAGAACAGACAAGCTCACACTTGACTTCAATAGGTGGTTTAAAAATTACCACCTTCAATTTTTATGGTAACATAATCCCTGGACAAATTGCTTTTAATTCAGGCTGTGCCCTGAACACAGAGGTACCATTAATTTCAAGGGTGGTTTGACTTTTATTTAGATAAATGTCTTGAGTTGACAGTGAAATGGCTCTCGGCTCTGGCTTAGTATTGATTGGAATGTCTCTGGAGGAAGCTTAAAAGAAAGTTGCCACTTAATGTGATACTGAGCCCCTTAAGAGACTTTGAACTCTCAATTCGTAGTACTTGTTAATTGGCAGTAATGGCAATGGAATTAATAGCCAAGATGAAAAATGTTAGCCAGCTCCTTTGGCACACACAGGACTGGATGTGTTTTGGTGGCAAGAGAGTGAGGCACAGTGAGGGCCCTTGTGGACCACATCTGTGTGGATTCTGTTCCTGAAAGATGAAGCTGGTCTGGGTTGAGGGTGTGCTCTGGGAAGCTCAGCGGATCAGACATTGTCCTGCTTGATCCTTGTCTCCCTCTGAGTATGGGGTCAAGGATGGGCTGAAGGGGAGAGAGATGTACTTCTGAGTCATGTGATAGACGCTGTCATCTTGAGAAGGCTACTGGCATGTGAGGCTTTGGTTCACACCAGCGTGATTTCCTATGACACTGCTCCTCTCTCCGGCATGATTATCACATGAAATATTCATTCACTGATAGTAGGAATGCCATGTTCATATAAATAAACCTTATGATTAAGATCTTACGTTGCTCACTTATTAAATAGTCCTTTCAACTTTAACTATACATCCCAGCGAGTTTTGATCCTGAAGTTTTTGTTTAGACCAAGGTCTCTGAACCTCTGAATGTTACTATTAACAGTGAAGGCTGGGTCTGTCCTTAAGGGCTGTCCTGTCCTTTGGAGGATGTTTAGCAGCATCCTTATCCTCACCCCACCAGATGCTAGTAGGATCCTCCCCTCCCCTCCCCTTCAGTTGTGACAACCAGAAATGTCTACAGACTTTGCCAAATGTCATCCATGGTTGGGGACCACTGATTTTTAGTCAATGAAGGATCAGACTCCCTTTACTGCTTCTTAATAGTGTTTGATACCTTAGTAAAACAGTAATTTTAAAAAAAGCCATTTGATATGGTGCCAGGCATTTGGACCAGCATGGTGGTCACAGAATCCCTCTGTCCATGGAATTCTCCAGGCAAGAATACTGCAGTGGGTTGCCATTTCCTTCTCCAGGGATCTTCCCGACACAGGGATTGAACCCTGGTCTCCTGCGTTGCAGGCAGATTCTTTACTGTCTGAGCCACCAGGGTTACTTAAAATAGTACATGAGATGGGGGCAGTTATGAGTAAGAGGGATTATTTCTCCTGGGGAGAGATGGGTAGATGATTCCTGAATTTGGGAGTATTGACTAAATTTTTTCTCTGTTTTTTGCTCTCCTTTTACCAGAAACCTGAGTTACAACAAACTTTCTGAGATTGATCCTGCTGGTTTTGAGGACTTGCCGAATCTACAAGAAGTGTGAGTGCTTTTCCCAAAACTCTGGGGGGTTGGTGCGCAGGATGGCAAGCTCCTGGGGAGGAGCCTCTCATGTCACAGCGCTGCTCTTTCCCCTGGATAAGCATTCTGAACTTGTTAGAGGGGACATCTGCTGGGGGCTGTTGGAGACAGAAGGCCCTGCCTCCTTCGCGCTCCTTTGCTGAATCCCCTCTCTTCTTCCTGGGCAGTCAGTGGTGGGTGTGTCCAGCAGGTGTGACTTTACTGGAAATCACAGGCCCACGGGGGTTATACAGGCTTGTGGAAAGCCTTGGGTGCCAAGGGGACTAACAACCTGGCTGGTACTTCCCCCAGTCCCCAGGGCACTAGAGCAGTCTGCTTTGCAGGGGCATATCAGCCAGCCCACCCCTTGTCTTTCCCAGGAATCCAAGGTATCGAGGAATGGATGATAAGGCTGATTTTTCTCTCCTGATCTCCAAACAAAACTAGACATTACTGTCTTTAGAACGTTAGGTTTGCTGTCTCTTGCAGTGTCCTTTAAATCAGGCCTCAGTCTTTTCTTCTTTTTAATGTAAGGAATTCTGCTTTTAACATGAATGTTAGAGCTATTCAGGATTTTAGTTCCATGGGGACTTCAAAGAAAAGTCATGCATACCCACTGCAGAAAATTTGGCAACTGTAGAAATATGTAAAATGAATTAAAATCACCAGTATTATCACCCAAGGCTAAAACATTGTGGACACTTAGTGAAAAATATGTACTTCTACACATAATTTTGGAGTCAAACTGTATTTGTACTGTGGTTTTACATCTGTTCCTTACTTCTTACATTTCTGAATACTTTGTCATGTAAATTAAAAGATTTTTACTATCCCATTTCAATTTTTAGTAAGGCTACTTATGCATGAAGATTTCATAAATCATTCACCCAATGCTCCTGTTGTTACTCTATTTTTAGTAGACATTAAGTGCTTTATATATTTTACTTGTTATATGTAACTGATAAAAATCCTTGTTTATTATTTTTTGATCCCATTGTTGAGGGTTTAATCTAAAGGAAATTTAATCAGATGATGCAATTTGTTAAATACTTGTATTCTCTACCACCATCTCCAGATTCTCCAAAATGCTATTTATGATTTCCAGGTCTGTTTAAAGAAGGTTCCAGCTTCCCAAGTTAAAGGAAGATGAGAGTTGGAAGGGACCCTTGGAAATACTTTGTCCAGGGCCCTTATTTTTCTGTATTTTTCCATAAGGTCATAGTGATTAGGACTAGTTTGGAAGTGTGTCATTATTAAGTTTACTGTAGTAAACTTTTAAGACCACAGACTGGGTGACTTAAATAATAGCAACTTATTCTCTCAGGGTTCTGGAGGCTGGAAGTTGAAGATGAGGGTCCTGGCAGGGTTGGTTTCCTCTGAGGCATCTCTCCTTGACTTGCAGATGGCCACCTTCTTGCTGCCTCTTCCCGTATCCTTTCCTTTCCCTGATGCCTCTTCTGTGTGTCCAAATGTCCTCCTCTCAAAAGGGCACCAGTCACACTGGATCAGGACCCATCCATATGATCTCTTTAAAAACCCTTTCTCCATATACGGTCACAAGCTGAGTGCGGAGGCCTGGAACTACAGCCTAAGAATTTTGTGAGGGTACAGTTCACCCACCACAGCCACCTGAAATGATAGACCCAGCCCATCAAGGAGCTGGTTTAGACCATAACACAGTGCTTTCCCTTGATCCAGGCTGTCTTTGCACTTGTGGTTACTGTATTCAACTTCTGTGTGTTGAGTCTCAGAGCTTAGTGGTTTCTTTTAGAATTGGACAAAACAAAAATCACGTTATTTCTTAGGGCGTCATTCAGGCTTTCATTTACTGTTTCCTCAAGTACCTCCTATGGGCCAGGCGCTGCTCTGCTGCTGGGGGCACGGGAATGAATAAGGCAGACAGAGAGAGCTAGGGTGAGGGCTAGGTAAGTGAGGCGTTAGCCGGTGGTGCAGGATTGAAGGGGCTTCTAAAAATTCAGCATTCGAGATGAAGGACATCTTAATGCAGTATTTAAAAAAAGCAAAATGGATGCCAAATAATAAAATAATACTAATCCATGATGGAAAAAAATACAAAAAGTTTAAAGTCTGAATCAGCTTAACTGATTATTTTTCCTTTTGCTCCAGGCTCCTGTCTGGCTTGATGGGGCTCTGTTGCTGATCATTTCTTGGTTTGAAAACTTACAAACTCTGAATGTAGTTTTGTGTTCACTTTCATATTTTAAAAGTGCTACATTCAGATATTCTTTATCCTGGCTTCCTAGTTTTCTTGGTGGCCGCTTAAAATACTATTCCCATCTCCCACAATCCTGGCACCTCAGACAAACCTTGCTTGTCACAGAACCACATTAAAAAAGGGAAAGATAGGAAAGATAGGTGGGGAACAAGGAAGCCAGGTGACTCACTAGTCGTACGTGTTTGTGGGGCCTAGAACAGGGTCAGGGGAGGATTTTCTTCTTTGATTTTGGAGAGGTAATAATGGAGCTGGAGTGCTTGGGATGGTGACTGATAGGCAGATCAAGCAGCTGTGAGTGGTGTGGACAGGGTGAGCTGCAAATATAAGACAAGGCCCTCAAAGAAGGACCAGGACGAGGGCCCTTGCACCTGATGTGCATGAGGGTGGGATGTGTGGCCAGGGCCTGGGTCCCATGGGGCCCTGGGGGTCCTGTTAGGCTGTGGATACAATGTCATCGGCCCGCCATAGACTGGGTGCACAGTTGATGCTCCGTGAGCCTTTTCTGTGTTCTCTCTAGCTCTCTGTTTCCATTTGTTCCTTCCCCAAACAGCCGTCCAGTTTCAATTGGTTTGGTTCCCTTGACCTGCGGCTTTTAATCCCCCTTTTACTTGGTGCTTTTTTAGAACTTAATCCCCACCCAGATCTAGAACGGAGAGCATCTGACTTGCACCTGTCCTTCACTGGGGATGCTGGTTAGTCTTAAAAATAAATTTCCTGAATCACAACAGCACAGCAATGACAGTAACAGCAACTCAGCCTTAGGGGAAGACAGCTTCATTTCATCCTGACACCAGCTCTATGTGATTTAAATTCTTTTCTTTACAGTCATTTTTTCCACTTTACAGAGGAGGAAATGGAAGCTCAGACAGATTAAATAAACCTGTGCAGTGTCCCCTGGTTGGTAAAGCTGAGAAAAGTGTTAGTCACTCAGTTGAGTGTAACTGTTTGCAACCCCATGGACTGTATCCCTTCAGTCTTCTCTGTCCATGGAATTCTCTAGCCGAGAGTACTGGAGTGGGGTTGCCATTCCCTTCTCCAGGGGATCTTCCCAAACCAGGGGTCAAACCCGGGTCTCCCACACTGCAGGTGGATTCTTTACAATCTCAGCCTCAGGAAAGCTGATAGTTGAACTCAAATCTGTTTGTTTGATTTCCAGAGCTGTGCATTTAAGCCTGAAGCTGCACTGCCTTCACCTCACACCCCCTCCTCCTAACCTGCAACCTTCCACTCAAGATTTTAAAAGGATGGAAAGTCCAGTGTTTTATCTCCTCTATCGCTCTTCCTACATTGGTCTTCTCCATCGAGGTGCTGAGGTATTTCCTCTGATTCCTCCAGACTCTTTGTCCAAACCCACATCACCCCATCCAAGCCCTTCTCCCTTCACATTCTGGCTTTTTTCCCTTCCTCTGAGCTCCTGTTGAGTGTAGGGCCAGGGTGAGGCTTCTCGACCCCCATCGTCTACCTCTCTCTACCGTGTGTGTCTTCTCCTCTTACTCCAGCTAATGAGCTCAGGGAAGTTGACCGTAGCTGGCTCTTGTGCTAATAAAAAGCCCTCCACTCCTTATGGTCATTTCTACATTTTCAGGCAGTTGTGGAGCAGAGGCCTGGGAACCTGGCTGCAATTGCACAGCTAGTAAATGGGGGAGCGGGGCCTGGAGTCCCTGGTCTCACTCCTGTCCCAGACTCTCCATGGCAGCGCAGTCTTCCCAGGCGTGGGACTTGTAAAGAGAGGGATCACTCCTTGTGAGTACAGTGTCGTGTACTGGGAGGATGTGAGTTTGGTAGTAGGCAAACCTGGCTTGGAGTCTTGCTTCTGCCCCTTACCGGGACTGAGTCCCCAGACAAGTTACTTCCTTCCACGCTGCATCTGGAACATGGGTGTAGTGACATGTTACCCAGTTACAAATACCGTAACTATTTACTGGATCTGATTTTCAGAGCGTTGTACACAGGCAGGGCTCTATGCTGTGTGTTCAGTCACTCAGTCGTGTCTGACTCTGTGCGACCCTGTGGACTGTAGTCCACCAGGCTCCTCTGTCCATGGAATTTTTCAGGCAAGAATACTGGAGTGGTTGCCATTTCCTCCTCCAGGGGCTATTCCTGACCCAAAGGTTGAACCCAGGTCTCCTGCACTGGCAGGCAGCCTCTTTACTGCTGAGGCACCTGGGAAGCCCAGGGGCACACACTGTATTATTTCTCTTCTGCTCCTTTGAGAACCCCAGAGCCGCCCTCCACACCCCTCCACCCCGCCCCTGAGCTGGGTGGCTTGTTAAGAAACAAATCCTTGGGGGCTGATAGGTTGAACCCTTTACCAGCGTGACCACCCCCGGTCCCCAGTGGCAACTGTGGGATGGATAACACAAATTCCCCAGGGCCCAGATCAGTGGAACTTGTCATTGATAAAGATTCAGTCCTTTCCTGAAGGGAATTCTAATACATCGTGCAGGCAGAAAGAGGCAGGCAGTGACGAGCAATGGCTGGAGAGATGGAGAAGGATATTAAAGAAAAGAAAAAAAAAATCACAGTGGGCACACAGTTGCTTCTAAATTAACTGGGTCTTCCAAGGGCTGTCAGTTCTCCTGAAACCTGCACAGCCACCAGCCACCACTTGAGTCTGGAAGCCTCGGCAAGAGGGGAACCACAGGCTGGCAAAGCCGTGGTCGGTGGTTTAGCAGTGGTTTTATTTTGGAGGCCGGCAACCGCAGAGCATCCCGGGCCAGTTGGAGAGAGAAAGCAAACCGGTTGGGGGCCCCCGGAGGACCTAAGGATGTTGGCGCAGCTGCCGCCAGACCACGTGGTCGTCACTGCCCGCAGCACTGAGGAAAGCCCGCCAGGGAGAGCCTCCAGCCAGGAGTCCTGGACTGCGAGGCCCCTCTGTTAATAAGAGGGGCTATTTATACCGTCCTCCTTCAGAGCTGCGCTCAGATCGCATTACTGCTGCCTGGCCCGGGAATGCCTAACGTGGGTGCCGCCGTGTGCTTTCCAGGGTCGTTGACCTAAAAGGTTCTGAAGGCACCGAGAAAGGCTGAGCGTGCCTGCCTCTGGGTATTTATGGCTCACCCTGCGGTGGCCCAGGCTTCTGCTGCCCCTGTGTGCGCGTGTGCGGTGTGTTTCAGGGGAGGGTTGAAATCATAAGGGGGTGTCATTTGAGGCACTGCTTTTTGGCTGTGAATCACCACCACCTGTTAAGCATTTACTATATATCTGGCTCTCTCCTAGGCTGTTAGATTTAGTGATTTCAGCCAGATCCTGCCAAAACCATATGAAGTTGGGGCTTGTACTTTGTGCATTTGGGGGAGAAGAAAGCTAATGCGCAGTGAGGCTTAGTGACACCCTGAAGGCCGTTTGATTGGTAGGGGGTGAGCTCAGGCTTAAATGGACCCGGGTCTGTCTGACTTTAACACGTGAGTTGTATCATCTCCTCCTGGTACTCCCTGCTCTGCTGTGCAGTAACTGGGTCTCCGTTCCTCCTTTCAGCGTGAGGTGATGACATAGTGCCTTCCTTCAAGGGTCGGCGTGTTATTCAGTGACACATGGCGTGGAAAACCCTCCTCACGGAGCCTGGCACACGGAGAAGTGTTTGCCTTTATGCTTGTTTCTAAGTGTTGACTTAGAGGAACTGTATTCTGTGTCACAGTCCTGAAATACCTGTACCTGTCCCGCTGGTATGCAAACTATAAGTCTGGCCAAAGTCGGTAACGTAGTCTGCCTTATTCTCGAGTAGCTGAAAGCACTGATAACAGCTATTGATGAAGTGGCCCTAACTTTCCAAAGTGGCTCCTACCTGCTACTGATGACCTTCTCCCACCTCAGAAACAAAACAAACTGATACGGCACCCCCCGGCCCAACTTGACTGTTATTAATGGTAGCCCACTTTGTGTTTGGAAACAACCAAAGTGTCTAGGAAATTAGTGAGTCGGCTACATCAGTCGTGGTTCATTCACACCATTCATTGCGGCAGAGGAGCACTTCACCTCTGGTTAAAAGATTTAGGGAGAGCTCCAGGATCCATTACTAAGGGGAAACTGGCGCAGAATAGTCTGTGTGAGACACCGGCATCTGTGTGGAAGAAGACCGCGTGTCCATCTGCAGCAGCCTGCAGCTGGAGCTTCCTCTTGGAGGCAAACCAGAGGCCGAGGGGGCGGGGGGTGGCTTTCAACATATAGTCCTGGTGTTCTTTTTTTGAAATAATTTGGAATTTCACCGTGTACTTATATCAGCTATTCAGTAAGTAAATAGGGCCAAACAGTTTTTTTAAAAAAAAGAAAGGGCTATAATTCAAAGTGATCCTGTGGGTTTGTTTTTCATTGTTTCTTGATGGCTGATTTGGTTGAGGCAGTCAGTAATAAAAGTTCTCTGAAACATCCTTTTTAACATTCTGCATCTTGCACAATGTGAAAACTTCCTTTCACCAGGTCCAGAAAATGGAAGTTTCAGAGAGAGAGCTGAGGGGGCCTGGAAGGCTGGGAAAGGCCAACGTCCAGGTTCTGCCCCAGGAGTGGGATGATGGGAAGGCGGTCTATGCAAAGCTCTCCCCCCATCCCACCCCGTGCCTTTTTCACACCTTTTCCAGCTGCAGGGCTGGGCCATTGTTCACGGTCTGATGCTTCCAGAGCGTTTCTTGGTCCTAAATCATCAGGAAAAGTTTCAGTTGTAGAAGCCAGATATTTAGGAAGAATTTTTAGGGCCTTTGGATGGAAACATATTTGGAGGGAGTGAGAAGGGGGGAAAGACTGCACAGCCCTAGGTATTCAGAAGAGTTCATCAAACATCCTAAATCCTGACAACATCCTTACACATGGAGACTGTGCCGAACGTCTGGAGGCCCTTCTTCGGCTGGCTCTGGAGTTGGTGCTATTTTTGACCGGTCTCTATTTCAGGCTGGCAAGTTGGTCGTGTCTCAGCGGGAGTCGGGCCTTTGTTGCCTTCCGAGGGTAGTGTTCTGGTTTCAACGAGGGACAGAGCGAGCAGAGAGCCAGTGGTGGAGGAGTTGATTGAGGTTTACTTGCAGTTCTTTTGAAGCAGAAATGGTCAAGAAGTAAGCTAGCCTTGCAGATCTTCTCCTCTATGCTCCCTCTGACCTTTTCATAAATCCAGAAGCCCCGCTGAGAACAGAGCCTGCGATTTCCGCCTCATCTTGTTGACTCCAGGCTGCTGACCAGACCTGAAATGCCCTGTGTGCCTTCAGCACCACTGGCCACACCTGCACGCTCTGCTTCCAGCATTTTGGTCACGATTTGAGATATGATAGTGATGCCCCCTTTCCTTGTTCAGTTGTCATTCCTAGGAGTTGAGTGGAGCAGTTTGTTGTGTGTGCAGCAGGGTGGCCCGAGACCAGACTCATTCAGCGAAAGTTCTCCTGCAGACACGTCCTTACTGACAACTGAAAGACGGCTACCGTGTTACATGAGGTTATGAGCTTTCTGCCTGCTAGCCTTTTCAGCTGTGGCTCTCCCGTGGCTTGCAGTTACACTTCGTTCACCTCTTGTCCAGGCCTCTCTCTCTCCCTGTCACCTTAGGATGGTGACTTAAACTTAGAGACCTCACCTGTAAGGTAGAGAACAGTACTAGCACCTGGTTCCGAACCCAGAGTCTGACAGTGCAGTCACATAATGCTGTAGAGTTGCTGCTGCAGCTATAAATCAATGGGAGTAATGGTTAAGAACCTAGACTTTGGGGCTTGACCCCCAGGGCCACTGCCTTTTACTGCTGGTGACCTCAGTTAAATTACTTAACATCTTAGTGATTCAGTTTCCTCATTGGTACAATGGAAATGTTAATGGGGCCTGCCTAGTAGGGCTCTAAGGACATATTAATATATTGAAAAGCCTTCAAGAGTCAGGCCTGGCACATAATAAGCCCTCAGTAAGTTAGCTGCTGCTATAATTATTATGACAACCCTCCCCCCACCCCCAGCATCTGTGTTTTAGAATAAATCTCTAAGAAATGAAGAGTTTGTAAGGCAAGCTGCCTTCTTGGCAACAGGCCCTTGACCTTAGCTTTCCTTGCCCTGGTAAGATCTGAGGATCTCATCGAGGAATACGTACATTTATGGTCCTGTGAAAATTTATTAATAGATTCCGACAGATGGTGAGTTTTCAGCATCCTTGTACCAAGATGGGAAACGGATCACAGCAGGGGTGGAGAGATAAAAGGTGAAGCAGAAGTAGTCTGCTTTAGGGGCAGTCAGATAAGAGACTGTTAAAGTAATTAATCGTCTACTTCAGCACACAAACAAGGGCCCTTTAAGTGGAGAAAGGCTTTGCCACGTGATACAGATCTGCTTTCTCTCCGCCAGATGCTTCAGTCATGAAGCTGTTGAAATAGACATTCTGTGTCCCTCAGTCCAGTAATTGCCAGGCTTCATCTCTAACCAGCTTTGGCACTGAAGAAAGCGAATGGGATAATTCAAGGCCTTTTCCTCCCCCTCCCCGTTCATTCTATAAAAGATGGCAGACAACCAGATTATTCTATTCAAGCAAATTCTCACTGTAAACTTGTATGAATACAGCTGTCATTTCAGTGGCCTTGTCTTCAAACCCTAACTGGATGCTCTGTATAAGACATACTGTGTAAAAAAACAAGAATAAGGTAAACCAGCATTATCCTTGATTCTGCATCTCAGATACCATTTCTTTCCAGCCTGTCCCCGTCAAAAAGCCAGATCACCGTGCTTTGGCTATCCCTAAGGATTTCGGGGCTCACTTTGCAAATCTGATTTTGGAGTCTCTTCCCCAATTTGGAAATACTTATCCATGTAAGGAAGTTGGATTTCAGAGCCTCTGGGGATGGCCCAGGCAAGCTGTGTTCTGGTTTTGGGGCTTCCCCTTCCATTAAGAGTTGAGAATTGTGGAAGTACAGACATAGAATATTCAAGCAGGACGGGAGCTTGGGGAGGGTCTCTGGTCTGCAGAGGATTTTCAGATTGCCTGCGTGCCAAAATATGTGTGTATATGGATACATTCCTGGAAGACACATCTGGAGGCTTCATCACAGTTCACGCAAGTAGATAAGAACCTCTAAGAACCAGTCATTAGTTCATGTGTCTCCAGCACCGGGAACCCCCCACAGGAGCGCATGATCTGTGGCGCTGGGTGCACGCCTGTGGCCCTTCGGTGCGGGCAGAGCCACATGGTGGATGCATACAAAACAATGGGGGAGGTGGTGATCCCAGCTGGAGTGGGCCCTGGTCCTTCAGCCCACAAGGAGCACTGTCAGGGATGGTCTTGGGGAGCTGCTGTTTCATTTGTGCATCTCCGCCTGTGTTCATGGTCCCTTGTCTGTTAGTCTTGATTTCTGAGCTAAAGTGGAAGCTCCTAGAGGACAGAGGATGTGTCCTGGATGTGTTTATTCCTAAACTGTGAGTGTGGTATGTAGTGTTTATGACCTGGTATAACTTCTCTCCTATTAAAAACTTGCTTTTAGATTCTCATATTCAGCGTTACAGCATAGCAGTTTGCCCATGGCTATTGTTTAAAAAATGTCCTTGTATATCTGTGATTTCATACAACTAATTTTAATGATTTAACTGATTCATTTCTTCTTCTTGTCATTATAGGTACCTCAATAACAATGAGTTGACAGCCATACCATCCCTGGGCACTGCCTCGTCTCATATCATCTCTCTCTTTCTGTAAGTGGTACCGTTTGGGAGACCTGGGGCTGTGTGGGGAGGCCGTGGTATCATGTTGCTGACATTGGGTATCAGGGAAACTTGTATTCCTGGGCTCACTGGAAAAAATGGTCTTACTCCACGTACCTCTGGTGATAATGACAAATGTGTTGCTTGCTGTTTCAGGCTGTGTAGAATTAAAAACTGGAAGTTTTGCCTCATCTCTAGCTTGGCAGGAAATTATCTTTTTAATACCCAGGGGTACTAAATGTCTTGTTCCTAATGGATAAGCTGGCAGTTTGAGTACCTAAACTGAACTTAAAGAACACTGTATGAATGATGAGTGATGAGACAGCAGGCTCATGTTTGTGGCAGTGACTTTGATAATGTGACTCAGCTCACTTTCAGGGCTTAAAAAAAAAAACCAAAAAACTCATCAGGCTTCTGACATTAGCATGAAAGTAAGGATTTCTTTGTCATGGTCAAGTGTTACACAGCATAAAACCTGTCGACTGTTATAGACAACATACTGGAAATGAGAAAGGGAATAAAGGGACCTCAGTGAGGAAGAAAGGGAGATGCCCTGGGTATGTCATTGTTGGGGCCAAAAGTACCCTGTGGCGTAGTTAAGTACTGTGAGTTACCCCACTTCTCCCGTAGTCAGACGGAGGTGCTCGCTTATTTGAAACTCACCCAGAGGTCTTTCCAGATATACCAGTCACAAGTCCAGCTATTTTCTAGACCAGCCTTTATTGGCAGCTTCCCCAGCAGAGCATCTCCCTCTTCACGCCAAATTTCCTGTTTCCACTCCAGCCCTGCCCATTTTTATTTGATTGTGATTTTACTGGTGTTATAACTCGTCCACTCACCTGGAGGTATCATTTCTGACACTGACCCGAGCAGAGTGAACTGGGGAGAAGGCTTCATCTGTCCGATAACTAGCGCGGCTTACAGGTCTCTGGGTTTTCCTGGCTGCAGGGCCTGTGTTCGGAAGATGGCCCAGCCTTGGGACACACAGTCTTGGTTTTAACCCTTTTCCAGGTGTTGTGGGGTTGGGGAGCAGGGGCTTAGAATTGTGATCCAGCCCTGTGTCCTGAACAGACAGCTTCATCTCTCTGAACCTCATTTTCCTCATCTACGGGACATGTTCCTGTTCCCCTTGTGTTGTACATGTCGGGGCAGTGAGTCCAAAGTTGGAGGGGAGCATGAGGTACAGGAAACGCCTAATGTCTTGCACAAGCCAGAATAGGTGTTTGACGGGTGGAAGCGGCTGGTGGCTAGTTGTCACCTGGCCCCTTGGGCCTTGGCATGATCTCACCTTTAGGGCCACAGGGTCTGCAAGTCACTTCTTGTACCTGTGAAGTGCTGGAATGATGCATATGGTTCTTTATACCAAGATGATCAGTCAGGGATCTAATTTTCTTGTTGCACCTGTTTGGTCCATGGTGTTCTAGCATCTGGAAGGTGTTTCATTGCTGATTAAATGAGTTATCCATACCTGAGGCCAGTTAAGGACATGTCAATCCCTGGTATGTTTATAGAGCAACGCACCGGAAGATGCTTCTAATGCCTTGCTATTTAAAGGACCATTCCTGGCCCAGCAGTGTGCTGTCAGTACTGAGCTCATTAGAAATGCAAATTCCCAGGCCTCATCCCAGTCCTGCTGGTCAGAAGCCGTTTTCACCGCGGCCTCTGGCCATTGGCCCACTCATTCAAGGTTGAGAAGCACGGCTTCCCCACCCCTTGTTCTTCACTTGGCTGGGAAGCCCAGGCCACAGAGACCATCTTTATGTTACCAGACAGGAGCCCGAGGTTGCCTGAGCTCCTGTGAGTTGCGCAAGAGAGAGGTGAGCGGAGACTGAGCACACGCCCGTGCACGGCTCCTCTCTCTCCCCCCACATGGGGGCAGGAGCATGGCAGGTGACTGTGACCCGCCCTGTGCCAGGACGGGCAGGGCCCCCCGTTTGCCCTGGGGCCTGTGGCGCTGTGAATCACTCCTTGCTCTGCTGACTAAAAATACATCTCTGTTCCTTGGCCCAGGTGTCTGAAGCAGGGGGGCTGGTTGGCCTTGTTCCTGCTATTCCATTAGACAGCGTTAAAGTATGTAAAGTAGGAAGGAAAAAAGAAAACAGGGCTCCCTCCCAATTCTGATTCAGTTTGGAAAATGCAGGTTTGTATTGGCAGATACTCCCTTTGGCCTGAAGCTGGGCTCCATGTAACTTGGTCAGTGAATTCTCTGAAATGACAGACACTGAAGGGTCTTCACCTTCCTTCTGTCTAAAGGGCCTGTGTTCGCCGATCTTAAACTCGTGGATTTACTGCCTGGGAGTCAGGCTAACAGCATGACGTCACAGTAGCAGGATTATAGACAAATGTGCTGTCTTCCTTCACGCCTTCCTGTATTTCCTAAGTGAGTTGTGCAAAGAGCAGGGGAGAGTGAACAGCAGGTGAACATGACTTTCTCAGCCTGACCTCTAAGGGGAAACACCTTGCATCTCCATCCAATTGAGAATTCCAACAGTTCAGGCTGATTTTTGTTTTGTTTTGTTTTGTTTTAAGATTTATTTTATTTGTTTATTTACGGCTCTGCTGGGTCTTGGTCGCTGCTGAGTCTTTTCTTCAGGTGCAGCAATCGAGGACAACTCTCTAGTTGCAATGCATGGGCTTCTCACTGTCGTGGCTTCTCTTGTTGCGGAGTGCGGGCTCTCGGGTGCGCGTGCTTCAGTGATGGCAGCTCCCGGGCTCTGGAGCACTGGCACATGGGCTTGCTTAGTTGTTCCACGGTATGTGGGATCTTTCCAGATCAGGAATCGAACCTGTGTCTCCTGCATTGGCAGGTGGATTCTTTACCACTGAACCACCAGGGGAGCCCACCATTCAGGCTTTGAAGGGCAAGTTGTGCTGGTATGTTTGTGGTTTTTCAGAAGAATAGCAGTAAAAGGTGTCACGTATTCCACAGACATTTAGTAGGAACCTCTGTGCCCCTGCAGTTGGAGCCCAGAGTGACCTGGGAAAGACACATCATCACACGTAGGAGGTTCCTGACATATTCTCTGTGGATGTGATAGGTCAGTTAGCTTAATTAGCATTCACCTTGGTAGCCCTTATAGTCTCCAGATTCTCCCCTTCCTGGGCAGGGGGAGGAGGGGGTAAATAATCAGAACTTGCCAAAGGACCACATGGCTGAGGAGCTGGGACGACTTTCTGGGGACACGGCTGTAGGCAGGTGGGCCAGGGGAAAGAGGGGGACCAGGCAAATATCCAGCTGTATCTCTGATGATACTGTGAACAGGGACAGGTGGATGAAGGGGTTGAAAAACTAACAAAGGTACACTTGCAGCTTTTATATCCTTTCCACGACCAGGAAACTGAGAGTTGAAGCAATAATGTCACAAAAGAAACACCGACCCTGCTGTCCCATAACTGCTCTTGCCGCCTTATGTCTTTTAGGACAGATCACAGCTTTGTGGTTTTCAGTTCAGACACCTGGGATTAGGGACTTTTGCCTCTGGATTTTGTTTGCCTGTCCAAGTCAGCTCTCCATCTCTGTGTTTGGTTTCTTGTCTCCCGAGTCTGTGTCAGTAACCCTGGTCCCTGCTCACATGACAGAGCTCTCATCACCCGCATACCAGCACCCTGCTTCACTGAGGTCACACTTGGGAGGACTGTGTGGGGAAAAGGATTTGTTTCAAGCCTGGCTTTACTATCAGGGCCTCAGGACAGTTTTCTAGTTTTTGGGAACTGGAGTCCTTCAGGAAAATTTCAGTCGGTTAACAGTTTCTGATTAAAGGAATCTGACTCAATTAATGTATTTGTCAAAGAGCAGATTTTTATTTGCACTGTGTTCTGCAGATAAGGACAAAGCCATTTGTCCTTAATAACCAAAAAGCATTAAACTCAAGGAAAGCTTTTAATAGGATTCGGTCGGAGTGAGGGAGCTAGATTTCATGAAATGCTTCTCAGAAAAAGAAACAGACTTTTGTTCAATGGGGGCAGACTCTGCTGGTAGATTTTCACGTTTGAGTTTTTTCTTTCTTTCTTTCTAATTTGAAGTCCAGGAAACTCAAGTTACAATTCCCACAGCAATAGTAATTTCATGTGATGCATAAGTGACATTTCTGGGGAAGAAAAATTTCCGCTTTTCCTGTGGTGTTACTGCACTTGTATCATTGAGGAGATTGGTTCCAGTGGAAATGGTTCTGTGTGTGTGTTTTTCCCCCCCCTTCAGCCCTAGGAGTAAAATGCTTGCTGTAAAACCAACTTGAGTTGTAAAACCTAGCAGCTTTATTTCGTGTGTGTTAGCCATGTCGCCCTCGGCTTTGTCCACGTAAGTTCTTTTCCTCTTGGTGGTGCGTCTTGGACCCTGTCCCTGACCCATGTTTCGTGGCTTCCTCTCCCTCCTTTGGCTTCAATCAGGTAGGAGATCTAGGCTAAGACTACTCAGACACTGTTATCTGTGACTTTGTGCTGTTAAAATCCTCAGATCTAGGTTCCATTTGGAAACAGAGCAAAATATTAATCTTTTACTTTGAATCTGGGGGAAATAAACTTTTCTGAAAGCTTTTTTTTTTTTAATTGAGAGAAAACTAACATAAAACACTGTTTTAAACAAATTTCAGGTGTACTTCCTCAAACACAACACACCCCTCAACACAATCTAATTACAGAACGTTGTCATCACCCCAAAATAATCCCCCTACTCCTTAAGCAATCACCTCCCCTGTCCCCACCCTCTCAGCTTCCTGAAAACTCATCTTTTAGTAAAGTATTTTTCTCTCCTGTTAGCAAATGTACCTTGAAGACTTAGAATTGAATCTTAAGTAAAAGTATCAGAAGCAGAATGAACTACGCAGTTGTGTATTTTGCCGTGACCTCTTAATTGAAGAAAAACTGATTAAAGGCATGGAATATTTAGCATTACTTTATTGTTACTTCCAGAGAGTAAAACCTGGAAGGACTGAAACCTGCTGTCCTGTCTGTTGACCACTTGGAGCCAGTTAGATGGAAGGAGCCAGATAGAT